ATTATTCACGAGCGAGTCATATCCGAGCTACCAACGCCATCATCTCGGTGATATGTATCAACTAGAAGCCAGACTTAAATTGAAGAGGTCAGTAGCGAACATGCGGCATATCTTGATTACATAACAAAGAATAATAAAACAGAAAAAATTTTTCATCAAAATCTGAGTTCGAATTTTTCAAGTCGAGTTAATTTAGTAGTAAATTATTTTTCATTTTCCTTAATACAAATTGCTGATAGTGTAATATATTTGTTAAGCTAATTTTTATCCACTGAGTAAAAACTCTGACACATATCATAATTAAATCGATAATTTCGGAAAGAAAGATAATTGCAAAATAAAATAAAAATAAATATTTTCTCTATATGTAATAATGCAAATTTTTCACAAAAATAACATTTTCCAAAGTTTTAAATTCTCCAATTTATACATTAAAATCGCGATCGAAAATCGTTATATTCCGTCAATCAATTCGAAAAGATAAATCAATCCTTATTTGATTTTATTAAATTTCAGTTAAGATAAAAAAAGTAAGTTTGTATAATTGTCATTTCGAAAAAAATATAAAATTTTTGTAGAATTTTACATGTGAGATTTTTGAAAATCCACAGAAGCTTTTGATTTTTTATAATTTTAAACTCTATTTTTATATTTTATTTAACATTCCAATTATGCTTAAATTGAATCGTGCTATGCAATATGAAATTATGTGACATTTCGATTTAGGACCCGAAAATACGTATATTCTCTTCTTCATTCGAGTTATAAACCTATTCTCTCCAATTTGCGGCAAATGTCATTCATAGAGAGTTTCACAGTTATCGTGCTCAACTATCAAACTAAATTATGCTCTGCAAATTATCTCCGGGATGCATCCCATTCAATGGAATTTTATGCTAAACAATCCTAGCTGTCATCATAATCGGGATCATATAGGGAACATGCACAATCGCTCTCTTGCGCGAGAGAGTTAAAATAAAAAACAATTTATTAACGACATAATTACAATAGTATATTCTGCGTGTGGAAAGCAATATTTTTGTTCTCTTTATACATCATTTTTTATTTTATCTCGGACCGTTCGACAATAATTCCTCAATTTAATCACAAGCCTACTATAAAATATCCGCACTCGATATACCTCGTCCGCCGCGTGTGTAGTTCGTCTTCCAGTCTTCTCCTTTCATCCTCGAAAACAATTGCGACGATTTTTTTTGTAGCCATTTTTAAAATAAGCGCGGACGTTCCACGGCAAGCCACAAACAACGGAACAGCCGGATACCGTCTGGTACAAATTTACTTGACGAAAAATCTATCCCCGCACAATCGAGTGCAATAATACAATCGCCTTTATGTTCTTATATCGAAATTCCTAAGCTTATATCGAACTGCTAAAGTTTTCTGTAGAGAAAATAATGTGATAATATTTAATCTAATTTATAGAGCAATAATCTAAAACGAATTTTAGGTTTAATATTTAACTATTAGTAATTTTTTTTTCTTTTTCTTTTTTAGAATGTCTAGCAACTTTGGCGATGTTTTTTATTTGCTTTCTACATTCTAAATCTAAAGGATAGATAGAGCTCGAAAAAAAATATTTATAAGTTAATTATTTTATAAATCAGATATATTTCTACAAGGCATATCCACGGGCTCCCGAAACATTTTCAGAAATTTTATTTGACTCTTTGATATTAAGATTGCCTACTTAGGAATAACAGGAGCGTTGCAGCATCATTGCACTCGTTTGTACCATGTTATCTAGTCACCGTAGACTAACAACGCGCGAAACTGGCCATATCTAACAATAAGAATCTGCTATCGCTACGCTTGTGAATGGGATTAATCGTGAAGAATTTCTACCTATAATAATTCTATCTTAAATCTGGCTTATATAAAATTCAGCTAAATCACTGTACAAAACGAACGGTGAAAAAGAAATGAATTAAGCCGCGCTGCTACGGAACATTAGTGCAGTTACAGTGACAGATAACACTCGTATCCCCGATAAGAAATTCGTTTGGTTCGCATATCGTGACACATGCGTCTGCTTCCGTTATGTTTTAAGCGAAAACGCTGGTATTATTGCGATTTCTCGGCTAATGCACATCGGGATGTGTTGAATGACCCGTGTGCGATTCAACGGTTTGCGCATTAATATACAGCAGGGTTGAGACATTAAAATGTAAGAATAAGATGATGTAAAAGATAAGGAACAAATGAAACTCTGAAAAAGATGTCCGAACATTTTCTTTAGGCATCTTCTTTAAACATCTTTCGAGAGAGAATCTTTGTTCTTTAGAACATCAAAAAAGATTATATTATATATATTTATTTATAATGATTCTTTATATATGTAGATCTTTTTGTAATTTAGATACTGTGAAACATTTTCAGTATTAATATAAATAGAAAAACTCATCTTATTCTTCTAAATTTTGTCACGTCTCAGCCCCCGTGCGAGCTTCTGTTGTAAAATGATAAATATTACAAAATGTGTTACAAATGTACAATTACATAAATTTTGTTTATTACAAACTGTTTATCCATTGCGCAAATCGTTATTTCGCATATGAGGCGATCGGGAGATCGTCATCACGCGTTATACGATCCCCTTTGACCCTGGATGAGTAATACATAGGATGCAATAAATGATAAACAACTCACTTCTAGAACTGACTTTCGTATTATCGAAGGCAACATTTATTTTTTATCTTTAGTGGGAAGAGAATTGATAATCACTCTTGTGAGAATTTTTGTGTATTTTCATATATTTTGACAAAAACGGCTTCAAAAATAATCGTAAGCACAGAAAGCGAACAACCAGATTTCAATCAATGAGTTTTAGCACTTATGATTTTAAGACATTGCTCATCCAGGCGTAAAGTATATCGATATATTCGGAAGAACGATAGCGAAGATATTCGAACACGAAGAAATGATTGTTCCGTCTTGCCACACGCGATCGATATACGTACGTGTGCGTGTGATTAATAATCGTGTATGCATGATATTACATGATCGAGAATCCTACGCGACAGAAAGGAATCGCATAATCGGACTTGAAAAGATGACAGCTACGAGAAAGAAAGAGAAAGACAAAAGAAGACGCGAATATGAGAAGCGAAAGCTCCGGACATATCGAACCGTCGAAAGTCGTTTAGGAAGCGATCCCTATTCGACGAAAAAAAAAAGAAAGAAAAAAGAAATAGAAAGAAAGAAAGAGGCTCTTTGCCGAGGAAAAGGGGACTTAATGCCTAATTAGTAACAATTAGCTAGGAGAGATCTATCGCGGTTTCTTTCATTTAAATTAACCGTAAATTAACAACTAATCAGTAGTCGCGTACAATGATATAAGAACACTAGCATAAACACGAGCAAAAACGTGAAATTGGATGATATACCGTACGTTTAACACACCCGTAATATGATTCATCATGCGCGATATACGACAATAAAAAGTCGAAGATGGCAGTACAACGGTAACCAATTAAACACCGGAGCTCAAAACTGCCTTGCCTGTCTTAATAACATTTAGTTGCCTCGTTAATATTTACAGTGTACATCGATAATCAATATCGTTAAATCTACTTGGAGATTTCTCTCTCGCGTGTCCTCAGAATTACATCGAATGTGTAGTAGCTCAGTACGTGCGTACATACATCTCGTCACCATCCGCTATATCATAATACGTTCATTTTTTCTCGTCTTTGAAAAAAAAATCTACACCCATCTTGACTTCGAATCAGCGCACATCTAATTTAATATCTAAATTTAGCGCGTATTATTACACACTTTTCTCTCTCTTTGCTAAAAGATATCTATATATATATATATATATTTTTTTTTTACATATATATATACTTATATAGGTTGTTTCAAAACTACCGAATGCTCTTTTAATAACTAATTCTTTGGCCAATTTGGAGACGATTTTTTCTTGTGAAAATGTCAAGGGAGATCATCGTTTCTTGCAAGTTTCCAATTTTGTCCATCATATATTTTGGTAAGTAAGCTTCAAATTCTCTATTAAAGTAAATTTTTTAAAAATAAATTTATAACTCAGAAATTATTGACACGTCAACATTTTCGCTAAAGAAAAATCGTCTCTAAATTAGAAGCGAGGGAACTGTTCGTAAAAGGATATTCGATAATTTTGGAATATCCTCTATACATATATATGCACTGTGTTCCAGGGCACCCGAAACTTGTTGCGTCAAAGGCATCTCGTGGCTATTGTTGTATCATTTATTTAAACTTTCTCTTTAAATAAATAAATTGCGTCATCATATCTTCGTTTTTTTTTTCTCTTTTTACTTAGTAGCATGGACGTCAGAGCATCTGTACTCAACGGCAACAAGGAGAGACTATAAAGGTATTCCGTAACTCCCTAACTTTCCCCGCTTACGTCACACTCGTCGATTTAACTCCTAGCATAATTAGCAGAAAATAGTTCTTACCTTTCTCTTTTTTTACTAGCTTTCTTCGTGGATAATTTTCTGTTCCTTTTTTTCTCTTCGTTTAAATCACTTAAATGGTAGTACAACGTAACCTAGGCGCTCTCTGTTTTATTAGACTATCTGAAGACTTCGCTCTGTAAACGGCGTTAAGATATATATATATGTATACGCAGGTGGAGTAGAATCATACGAAACTAATTTCTTCGTCGAATGTACAACACAGCGTGATTATTAAGTAGAAACACGCCGGAACGTTACGAGGAAAGAGCGTC